TATATGGAGGATGAATTACTATATGGGGGATGAATTACTATGGGGGATGAATTACGATGGGGGATGAATTACTATATGGGGGATGAATTACTATGGGGGATGAATTACACTATGGGGGATGAATTACTATATGGGGGATGAATTACTATGGGGGATGAATTACTATATGGGAGATGTATTTTCAGTTTTAAAAATGTGGCTCTCAAAAATAAATTTCAATCATGGTTTTTGGCGGGAAAAAAAAAGGTTGCCCACCACTGATCTAGGCTATAGAGCCAGTAACTCAGAATATACCACAGGTTTTTCAGACTGATGGTGGCTGTAGTTATAACTAACTCGTTTCGCAGGTGACTTCTGCTTCTTCAGGCAGAAATGGGGGAATAATCAATCTACAAATTTATATACACTTGTGTTAGAATCAACATTGTTCCTGCATCATCGATGGTGTACATATCGCAGAATAGATTTAATTGAGCATACATTATGGTCATGTTGAAACCTGCTTATTGATAAACAGTAGGTCATTAGGGTTCAGCCATACTAGCTATTGGGTGAAGGCTGGGGGGGGGGGGGGGTCCTCAAAACCACAGTTGAGCCATGGCTGTGTCCCACCCTTCAACTGTCACCTCTTTTTAGCTGCTGACGCCACGGCTGCAATGGTTTACTTTGTCGCTGTGGCAGGCATTCTACAACCTGTTGCCTTCTGCAAGCATATGGTTTTGGTGTGCTAGTGGGGGGATCAAAGGGTAAAACAGGCTTTAAGGAGCCAATACAACACCTCTTCACTGCCTGTCAAATGCTCTGAAGAGCCATCTGTATGCAGATCACTCTTCAGAGACGACTACAAGTGTGAAAGAGTAAAGAAATATTGTACCTTTTTATAAATGTCGCGCAATTCATAATTTCACAATAAAGTGGTGCTATAAGTGAGATCCGTACATTCAATTGCCAGAAGAAAATTCTGGAGCTTTGGGTAATCTTATTTCTGAATTGTTGTCATAGCTCAACTCAGGCATGCAATACAAATACCTGTATGGGAGTGGCTTTACCTGCCAAAAGATTTGTATTTCGTTGTATCCATTCCTAATATTTCTAATGGCCAGGTGGATGTCACCACTTAAAAGTTGGTGTACGTCTCCTTTTGGGTAGTGAGGAAGGTGTAGAACTTTTATTTATACTATCAATGACCCCCTGTTTTTGGTTTTCCATTGCTTGCTGTCCATGGTTTTACCAATCCTCACAAGGAAAAGGTTTAACATGGTCACAAAGCAGAAAAAACATGGGGCTTTCATCCCTCCCATACTGAAACACTCTCATTGAGATTTTTCCCTAATTTCCTTGTGCTCCTCTTCCTCCTGAGGTCATCAGGTTGTGGAGTACAAGAGCCTGCATACTAACAAGTTGCTGCTATATAATGCCATCCTCTTCTGTGCTCCGCTGAGCGGAGGACACTCATTGATGACTCACTCTGTCTGCATCTATTCTCTGGTTTAATTTCAGGAAATCTGTAAAGGAAATGATTCTGCTAAATCTGTTTAGTTTCAGCAGGATGTAGTCATCAGCTTTAAGCTTTTTTTAAATTGTTCTGATTATATGTTGCTTTGTAACCCTTTCTGCTTACACCAGATTTAAGAGCACTATTGGAAATTTGTTATAGAGGCCATAAGAACTGGAGCTCACATTGTAACCTAAACTTCATCCCTTAGATGGGAAATTCCAAAGCTGCATTGTGATGAGACCTTGACTAGTCAGTGCTTTGACTGTATGTTGATCGTAGTGACTTCTGCTCTAGTTCCCTTGTCACTTCCTTCCATACTTCTCTGTAGGACTTTTCACAAGTCTCTCTCATCCTATGGAATTCCCTACCCCAGTCTGTCTACTTTTTTAGATAATCCCTGAAAACCCTTCTCTTCAATGGAGCCTATTCTCCCCCCACAGTTATTACCTTTTTTGTATCACTTGACCCTCCCTTCTTAGATTGTAAGCTCTACCTTCTGATACTTCTTCTGTATTGTAACTGAACAGTCCACCCTCATGGTGTAAAGCATTGCCCAAACAGTTGGTGCTATATAAATGCTTTATTTTCTGCCTTCAGTTTTAGGTCACTCAGCAATGAGTCATTAAAGATTTCCAGGCATTGACATGTTATAAATAAGTTGCATTGGTCCAGTATGACATATCTGACCAATGCTGCTGGAAGCTGGAGATCACTGAAGTAGACTCAACCACTAGTACACTGCTGCTGCAGTGATCTCTACTTGCTCCTGGGTTCTGCACACAGCGGCTGCATTTCCACCTCAGAGATCAGAGCTCTGCATTCATTCAGAAAATGCAAATCAATCTATGAATGGTGCCTGTGCTGAGCAGCCACCCTCATGTGTTTGATACTTCAGGCCAGCCGCTTGACATGGGACCCCGGAAGCAAGTGTAAACGAATTGGCAAAGTCTACGGTGATTTCCAGCTTTCATCCATATCAGCTTGGTATGACATACTTGGTTACATTGGTATAGTTCTAAGCAGACAAACATGTCTTTTTACTTACACCAGCTTTGTCTCCTTCCCTAATCGGGCAGAATCCATAGCTTATACAGTGCTGGTGAAGGTTCCGGGTGGCTTCACAAACCTCGTGAGCTAGTAAACATGTAGAAGTGCTGCTTGTGGGTTCCACCTAGTGAGCACACTTGCTTATTGAATGAGAATGCAACTGTAATGCTAACTTAAACATAAAGACCAAAAGGTATTTTACTGTGTAGCCTCCTGTGTCCTCTTAACAAAAATTACTTGTCCCTCAAAAAGATCGCAGCATTATGAAACTCAATGGACTGTTGGCCAAATCTTGATTAGTGCTGAGTATTGGATCCCAGCTCTGTAGGTGGGGGGATAGAATTTGAACAGTTAAATTACCCAATTCATTTACTCTTCTCTGCTTTTTCAAACTACTGCTAATCAGATATTTAAAGGTATCAAGGGATGTTGCAGTTTGATAGTAGTAGTGGGTGTGAATTCCCAACTAAATGATGGAAAACCAAGTTAATTGCTTATTAATTTTTTTTTTTTTTTCCTCTTGCACTAGAAAGCCTAGGAGAGGAATAAGACTGATATAATCTCCTATTTTTCCATTCAGTTAATAAAGCAGGCTCCGTGTCATTCTACAATGGAAAGGCTAAATAGTATGAAGTGGGGCTTCCAGCAGCATTTGTCCCATGCTGACAGATGATCCCAAATACCATGATTGCAGATAATTTACACCAGAAAACTCCCAGTCCCTGAGCCACCAGGAATTATTGGAGCATGACATGCTTGTCCTCTTTTTCCCCTGTGGCCTACTTCTGTTTTCCAGCAGGTCTACAAAACCCATCTGAGCAGTAATGTGTCTCCAGAACCCGACACTGTTATAGTTGGTAATTATATGATGAACTATAAACACTCTCTAGATTGGTTATAAATCCAGGCTAATGTTTTCAATGTATTAGCCACAAGCACCTTTACCTTTTTAATCCGTCGTTTTGAAATGTTAAATCCTGCCTACCTGAAGGCATGCTGAGTGTGGGAATGCCAACACGCAAAGATCATCCTCTTCTAGTGAAGGAAAGAGGTGTATATGCAGCTGAGGTTTCTGAATTTTAAAGTTAAACCTTTTGCCTTTACTACTTTATGGCACAGTTTTGCTTTAAACAGTTCTTTAAAGGGATAGTTTACTTTTACCAAAAAGCTGCCTATACAGATAAAGGGTGTCTGTAGATAAACTGTCAGCTTTGACTAAAATTGAATAATGCCCTTGCTATAGGTGTAGGCCCTTTACATACCACCTGAAGCCTGACTGGAAAACTCCCATTGCTAGGCGAGGCCTAGTTATTACTGCTTGCCTCCACCATCACAGGAGTGAGCTCTCAGACACTGAACTCAGAGCTACTGCATTGGGGGGGGGGGGGGGGGGGGGATGGCATGCGGGGGGCTTTGATTCAGAGAAACGCTCACTCCTGAGATGGAGGTGAGCACCAGTGATTAGGCCTCAGTTAGCAACATTCTGGGAGTATTCCATTTGGGCTTCATGAGGTACACCTATAGCAAGGACATTATTCACAGTTTATCCACACATGCTTTATCTGCATAGGCAGGTTTCTGGTAAAGGTGAACACTTAAGTATTTTCGTAAATATAAACTGCTAAATACCTTTTCTCATCACAGTATATAGCAGTCTTGTGACTTCTATCAGTGTCCAACAGAGCACTGGTTAAAGCTTGTAGGAAGAGGTTTTTCTTTTTGCTCTAGGAGGATTCGGAACCCCTTACCTCTGTCTGGACAGTGCTGATTGGCCCTGTGCTGATCGAAACACTCACCCAAGATAAAAGAAAAACCTTTTAAACCATACACACCAAACTGAGCATGTGCCGTCTCCACTCATGTTATATCAGGAGATAAGAGGGGGGCACTGGAAGGAGGATCAGGGAAGACAGGATCAAACAGCATTTTTACACAATGCAGAGGATTAACCCCTTAGGTTCCACAGTGAGTATAACAAGCATGCTTTATTGCATATAAAGACTGATTTTACTGTTGTGGGATTAGTAACACTTTAATAAAAGCACAGATCACACATGTGTTTGCTGGATGTTCACATCTCTAGGGGGGCTTCAATGGCGATCTCTAGCTGAAATGTCATCTCCATTCAGCGGTTGTGGGCAATAAATGGTTTTCCTCCTCTGATTAGATTCTCCAGCATTCATAAAAAAAACTTCTAGAATCCTAATTGACAGATACCTTGCCTATCTTGTCCATTGATACACAGCTGAAAACCAACTACTGTAGGTTGGTGGGTTGAAAATCTTACTGGTTGTCTTCACAAAGCTGTTTAAAGCAGATGCAGGCCACCTTTGTCCACCCAGAAGTGATAGAATTGTTAATTGCCAACTCCCAGGGAAATAGTGACAGTAGTCAATGTTTATTAATATATTGGGGTTAAATTGCTACAATGGTTTCCCCCCCTTTTCTTTTACAGAATGATATGAAAGGGATTTGGAATGATACGGTAAAACCCCAAGTCAGAACAGAAGGAGAATGTCCCACCAAGCCCTGTCCTCTCCAATTCCTCTGATACTGAAAAGGTATTAGTATTTTTTTGTGTTTGGTTTTTTTTGTTGCGTTTTTTACTTTGTAATGGACTTTAACCAATACTATCTCTTCACAGAGATCTCAGACTGAGAGCACGCCTATTACCCCTCCAAGGAGAGTGTCCGAGAGCAATGGTACTAACTTTATTTTTTCTTGTTTTTTTGCACCACTTGTCGGTGTTTACAAATAAGTGGTTTCTAGTAGGCTTTATCACAGGTTCATGCTTCAGAAAAAAGGGCATTTCCAACAAGGGATTATGAAGGTTCCGGTATGTTGGTCTAATAGGTTCACTTTAAGGCTGTTCCTTTGAGCATTGATATTTTCTGGCCTAAACTAAGGCAGTTCAAAAGTCAGTAGGATAAATCAAATACCATCAGTATATTGTGCTAAGACATTCCCTAACAGGTTTCTTAGTGGTAGCCCATTGCTTTTGTTCTCTTCTCAAATTGAAGTTTAATGAATATTTCCTATGACATAGGTAAACTGGAGGAAGACGTGCAGAGACCCAGCACCTCTCCTGGCTACAGCCCACAAACGAGAGCATTAAATCAGCTGGAGGCGACCCCTGCTAAAGTTACAAAGGTGAGTAAAGGGGTGTGATGGCTGAAAATGGTGGTTTTATGGCATTCAAAAGCTGTATACAAGGAGTTGTAATTCTGTGCAGCCAGACTAGTGATTCCTACTGCTGTCACTATACAGCCAGACAAGTAGCACATTACTTTGCTCAGTTTGGCTTCTTGGGTCACTCTCAGCTTGTTTTTTACAGTGAATGGCATCAACAAGTTTAGTTGGTGAGGAACTGAACCAGGAACCTGTTACACAATGTGGGCTAGTATGGTGGAGCCACAGTAACACGTACTGGATGTATTTTAACTTCATTTGAAGTGGTTTGCCTGAAGTTCCACTATAAGGATAGACTGGCTAAAATGTAGCTTTGTGCTGCAGATGTTTATAGATGGCTGGACTTAATGGGTTTTGTGAATATGTAATTTGGCCAAAATGCAGCTTGGTCCCTCCTCTTCCTCTACACATACTATACTCTACAAAATAATACATTTAAACTGACAGTTGTGTAAGTATGACTTTTGTTTCATGAAATCACATACTTTTTGACTGCTATCTTTCTCTCTTCCAGCTTCTGCCTTCTGATTCCTTCTATTCGTTCCTGTCCTCCTCTCCCCTTGTAGTCTGACCTCTGCAGCCTCCACCCTCAGGACTTCTGCACCTCTTGAGCTGCAGCTAAGGCAGCTTGTACAGCCCTCTCTGTATGTGACTACTCTGTGTGGCATTTTTGCAATCACCCGTACAATCCAATTAGGTCTAGTCTATAATTAAGATGTCATGAGAATGCTTTGTTCACTGCATGCTGCTTTCCCAGGAGGTGCATTAAGATTATGGCATGTTTTGTAGGGATGACATTAGTGGGTCAATGAATACCAGATGTGGAATATGTAAACCTCTTGGGATTAGTGGGGTAATGTACTTCCACAAGGTATGGCATGTTACCACAGCTGGTACTATCTTTCATGAGCATAGACTGGCATTATACCCCACAGTAAATGTAATATTTAGGCCACACACTCTGTATTTATCATAGACCTACATTTAAATTAACCCAGCACTGTGCTTGGTGTTTGCTCGTTTCACAAATGGGTATGTCGTAACAGTTTTTTTTTTTTTCTTTTCATGTACTTTTAAATTAGCAGAACTGTTAAATTCCTCTTTAGCCTTTTATCTCCTTTTTTTCTACTATCCCTTTCCTGCATTACGTTTCCTTTAATAGCCTTTCCTACTGCATATGTTTGTGTATACATTTTTGCATGCTCATTAAGTTGCATCTGAGTAAAGAGTTTGTCTTAAATGTTTCATTGTGTTTTAAACAGAAATTTCAGATACCGGCGCGAGAGATCTGTTTTGGATGTCAGAAGACTGTTTACCCCATGGAGCGGCTTTTTGCCAACCAACAAGTGTACCATAACGGCTGTTTTCGCTGTCATTACTGTTCCACCAAGCTCAGGTACCAACCACTGTGATGGTCTCCGCTGATGACTTTTTTAAAGCTGTCCATAGACTTGTAAACTAACAGATTCCATTATCCACAGAGAAAGGATGGACAGATCTCCTGTTGGTGGGTGTTGTATTTTGACAGCTGGCCCTGTATGCTGTCAAAATGCCTGTACAGTGGCTGCATCTAATTGGATACAACCACTTTTTCAGCTGATAATTTTCTGCCTGGCTCCTTTTGATTTTTCAATCGAGGGATGTCTGGCCAGAAGCAGCTGATGCAGCCATACACGGAGCGAACTACATTCAGTGTATGGGAAGCTTTACACACTACAAAATGTTAGATATGCTTGTCAACCAGAGATTCTTTTGAGTAGTTAAATATATCAATATTAAGACTCAATGACCACAATCTGTTTATGAAATTCACACCTTACAAAATGTGCACAACGAAGGGAATAAGTCAGCATTTTTTTCCGCCATTACTGATTTTTCTCTGGAGGTCATTTTGATAGACTTCAGTGCTGTCCGTCACTGACCTGAAACAAGCAGAGGAAGTCATTCTGATAGTTTTACAGAATGCTTTTTTAAGACTCAGTCACAGACTATGGGCAAAGCCAGGCATCTAGCAATTTCATTAGGAGGGGTTGCCACCTGCAGTGGCAACCCCTATACTTCTCCCATGACTGTCACTTTGATTTTTTTTTTTTTTTTTTTTTTCTTTTGACAGGTTGTCTTTATCTTTAAAAATCTCTGATCAGTGACACTAAACTGGTTAGGCTTGATTTTTGCAGCTATTTATCTGGAAATTTACTATTTTTTGCTCTTCTGTAATGTTAGGATTAGGGCAAAACATGTTGATGCATGATACATTAACTGCCACGCAGAGTATCATTAAAGCTAAGCAAACTGAATATCAAAGCACTTGAGAGCTGGTTGAATGCTGTCAAGTATTTTCACATGAAATGTTTGAGCTATAAGTGTATTTTACCGAATAGAAAGATTACATATAGAACCCACTTAAAGGGTCACTGAACCCAAGAACCAATGTTTAATATATTGCAGTTTAGTGTACCAGTCCTTGTGGTGGCTACATCTTTTACTTCTCAGGCCAGGCTATGAACTTATGAGTACAGAAACTACTTGCCTAAAAAGCATTGCCTGTCACTTCTGTAAGATGAAATGGAAACAATTTTTTTTTGTGTGTAAATTGCTAATCCCATTGTCCCCATGTAAAGGAGATCAAAGGCAGACATGTTTGAGGTCCAGCCTGAGTGACAACCATGGCTGCCATGGAGGAGTGAGTGTAGCCAACCAGGGACAGGAAGTGTAGGCAGGATTACCTGAAGAAGGGTCTGGTAAACGGCAATATATTATCTTTGTGTGGGTGGAGGTAGAGACGTTGAGTTCTAAGAAACACATTTTATTTAATTGATACAAAGTTTTTCTTAAAAATAGTTCACATTTTTTTCCCCTTTGGTGTGCAATACTTGTGACTGTTGTATGGCATAAGCACAATCGTCCAAATATCCCCTGCTATGTGAAGTTTGTTGCAAAAACTTTGCCTCTTGCAAGCAGTGGATATCTGGAGTCTATATATTTTTTTACAATTCTCTTCACACAAAGGACTGTATTGTAGCAGCAAAGTAACTTAAGCTGCAAATAAGATTACACCAAGTCTAGTAAGGATGTGATAACTTCACTTGTACAGTATGTAAGGATGTGATAACTTCATTCATTCAGTATGTAACAGATGCAGAGACTTTTGTTGGATTTGATTATTGTAGCAAACTACAAATGCAAGCAAATCCTTACAACTTATCAAGCACAGTTGAGGATTGGATAATGTAATGCCCATATTGGTAAAGGGTGTTTTTTTTTATTATATATTGAATTGTGATCATTACATGTTCCTTGTATAGTGGTGGTTTTTTTTTTTTTTTTTTTTTTTGATGTAAATTATGTAAATTGGTACAGTTTTTGATCATTTCTGAATTTGGAAACAAGAATGGCTAATGAATGAGAACATGCAGCAGTTTTTACAGAGTGTGTAAAATGGAGTTTGGAGTGGGAGTGTTGCCAGCCCATTGTTATCTTTTCCCGGTCTGTCTTCTGCAGTATGTCTCCGGTCTTCAATTAAACCTGTAGCATAGACAGTCCAAGAAAAGGCTGCACACTTTTCTGTCTGCTAGTTTGGAACAAAGTCTGAAGGTGTTGATGACGGGCACTCCCTGATCCTGCTGTTTCCCCCTCTTCTACCCTTGGAAACACAGCCTTTTGGGGTATCCGCAAACCTGTAGCATGAAGTATAGGTTATGATGCTGTCAGGAGGTTTACTCTGGCAAACAAAACCATTAATGCGCCCCCCCCCCCCCCCATAACATTGCCCCAATTTCAAGCCTTGGCCTTTTGCTAGTGTCCTAGGGAAGCGGGGTTTTTTTTTCATCTCTGCTGTGGAAGAACCCAATCTATCGTTAACATTTTTATTTATATATAACATACACCTACCTCTAATCCATAGAGGTGAATGGAGGGCTGGATCGGGTCTGCCTGATGGACTGGCAGACCTAATCGGACTGATCTTGTGGAAGGGGCCTATGGCTGCTTTCACACTGGTGTGCTGCGGCTTACCTGCGCTGCGGGGGCTGAGCAGTGCACCTTGTGGCTTTTCTGTGGGTTAGTTGAGCTTTGCCATAGACTTCTATTACATCTTGGAGGTGTGGTGCACTTGAAATAACATCAAAACTCCTGCATGCTCTTTCTGAAAGTGCACCAAACCCACAGAATAGAATAGAGGTCGATGGCTCAGTGCAGCTATCCTGCAGGAAAGCCGCAGCTGCAATGTACCTGTAGATCAGCGTAAAAGCAGCCTAAGAACACTTTAAAGTGCTAATATGTGGATTGCAAAACTGTGGTTTGATAAACTGACTTTTTTTTTTCAGCTTCTGTTGGCATAACTAGGCTGTTGGATTCCAGTCCCAGGTGGAGTGATACCAAATGCACTTTGCCTAGGACTGGAGCCGACAATACAGAAGAAGCATCAGCTTATGCTATGCGGCTTCTGCTTTATCTGCAGCTGCTTGCTTTTTCCAGCGCAGGCCCCATCCACTCTGATGCTCCGATATGGTGGGTCAGCAGCCCGTGATCTGGGCTTGCCCAGAGCATGAGGTCAAAGGCCATATTAGAGTGCTTCAGTTGAGCACCTCTTCTATAAAGCAAGGAGCAAACCTTGTTTAAAAATCTGTGCCTCAAATTACAGCGAATGGTCTAATAAACATCCATAAGAAACATGGAATGTGCAATACGAATCCTCCAATTCGCACTGCCACTCTGCATGCTGACTTCCAATTCAGCAGTGCTGCAACTTGCCTTAGAAGTAAGATTCCAAATAGCGTTTTAACTAATTCATATCAATTCTGATCTATATGATCACCTATCGGAGTATAGCATCAAGTCAATTAGACTCCTGGGGAATATATTGATCTGGTCCGTCAAGTAGCAGAGGGGTTGTTAATTTCATTAACACCAAAATCAGCTGAAACCAATTAACAGGTGCACTAGATGGGCAAGAATGAGACGACCCCCCCAAAACAGGAATGGTTTTACAGGTGGAGGTCAATGACATATTTTTCTCTACTCATCTTTTCTGACTGTTTTTCACTAGTTTAGCGTTTTGACTAGGGTCAGTGTCACTACTGGTAACATGAGGTGATACCTGGACACTACAGAGTTTTTACAGGCAGTCCAACTCCAGGATGGCACATCAATGCTTTTTGTATTTTCCCTTATGTCTAAATACTTTATTCCTGTGTTCCTTAATGGGTGATGGGGGGGGGGGGGGGGGGGGGGGTGATTATTGTACCCCCAATAAAGTCCCTTGTCTTGCTTATAAAACTGAGGCTTGACTGTTGGGGCATGGTTATGGCTGGCTTTCTTGGTCATTAGCTTATTAGTGTCAATTTCCTGAAGGCAGCAGAACAATATTTTCTGTATTTTTAAACTATTTGTGAAAACCAACATAAATAGTCATCTTGCAATATACGTCAAGTAGGCCATGACTTCTAAATTTGTTAATGAAACGGTGGGCTTGGAAAATTGGATGATGGTATTTATGAAAACATGGTAATAGATCATTAGTAATGACTGCCGAAAGAATACGTGATGTTGACTTTTTTTTCTGATAAAATTGTATGTTTGTAAAATGCACTGTTCAGAATTATCATTCCCTCTGCAGCTGTTATGTGTGATGGAGTTTCCTTTCCATCACAAATGATGGTGCACAGCCTGCATATTAGATGGTGGCCAGAGGATGCCGGTAAAGGACAAAGAGCTTAAATCACAAGCACAGCATGCCTGTTGTATTTGGCAGTTGCACTATAGTCACTTGCAATGTTTGTATTTTTAAAATTCACCTGCAGGTATTAGGCTTTTTTTTTTTTTCAGGAAATGGGTAGTGTATCACTTGCTCTCAAACTTGCACTGTCCTAGTTGCTCTGAACAAAGGAGCCATCTAAAAGCTAGGGGCAAAGCATGCTGGGTAACTTATGTGCAATGTATTTGTTAAACTTGCTCTGGCAGTGCCATGTTGTGTTTAAAGCAGAGCTAAAGAATTTTCTCTGTCTCACAAAGTTCTGTAGGAAGTTTTTTTTTTTTGTATTTTCCTTATCAAATATTCCTTTTATCAGCTGCCACTTAATTTAAAGCCCAACTCTGGGCACCACATTATCAATTGGGGCCCTCACACTGCAAGGGGTAAAAGCTTGAGTCTAGGAGGTTGCTAAAGAGGTTCAAATGAATTATTGGCTCTGCTTTGAATGCAATGATGCCGAGTGACAGCGCTGACTGTTAAGACAGGAGGACAGCCCTGGAGCAGGGATTTGGATAATAAGCCCCTTCTACACCATTGAGCACTTATCCTATGCAGTGCAGGAAGGCTCCACGGCAAGGGTTATCGTTTGTGCCTGGAGTTGGGCTTTCATGTAGCTGTTCTGTAAATGAGAACAAATAGAACCCCATCACTAGAACATCCTAATACTAGATGAAAACTGAGGTCACTGTACTAAATGATAGTGCCATGATCTCCCCTGTTTTGACAAGTGGACAACCCCCCCCCCCAGTCTCCCCCCCACCCCCCCCCCCCTTTCCCACCAGAACACACTGATCGGCGCTGCAGCCATTGGCTGCAAGCACTGATCAGATACTGGTTTTCCAGCATACCCTTTTGATAAAAGCTGGTCTTTACACCAGCTTCTGTCGGACAGGCTGCTGTACACACTGGTCGAACGTCGGCCGATGTCTGTTGAACCATCTGATACTCGGCCCATGTGTACCAGCCTTTTAGAGGGAGGTGAGACCTGAAACATGCATAAATAGTGTTGCGCTAACTCATATAAACATAATGGTCCATAAACAGATTCAAATGTGCTAGTTCAATCAAAATCTGAAATAAATATTAAGTGCTTGAATGGTGAAGAATCACTATGATGCGCTTCGGATAAATAGTCTATTTGAAAAACAGAGCTCTACCTTGAAGTGTTCCTCCGAAAAATATATATGGATGGCCGCTCTCCTCTTACTGTGGACCCATAAATTATTACAGGTCATCCAAGCATGGTAATTCCAAAAAATGCTCTAGATGGTGGCAGAGAGCTGATGACAGGCACCCCTTCAATGACAGTTTAAACGGGACTCTTCTCAACTCCACATATAGAAAGAACAGGACATCCCCCATAGTGTAATATTGTTTTAATTCCACATAAAATTCCAGAGCGTCACTCACATGATAGAAGCAGTAACATAGTGATTTGCCATTCGAAACTCCTGCTCCGTAAAAAGCCAGCAATGTCACTAGGATCCGCCCCCCACGCGTTACGCCACCAACCACGTGGCTTTGTCAGGGAAAAAAAACTCACAATAGGACGTGAGCGGCCATCCATATATATTTTTAGGTGCAGGAACACTTAGTCAAGGTGGAGCACTGTGTTTTTCAAATGGACTTTATCCGGAGCACATCGTAGTGGTTCTTCAGCATTCATGCACTTTATATTTATATTTCATATTTTGATTGAACTATCACGTTTGAATCTGTTTATGGATTATTATGTTTATATGATTTAGAGCAACACTATGTATGTTTTAAGTGTGTGATCACCTTCTAAGTGTTGCAGCGGATCTATTTTTTTAGCTTATTCACTAGTTTGATAGCGCACATTGTTTTTTATTGGTGTGATGAGACCTGATTGCCAGACCATTCAGTTCAACAAATAAAATGCAAGATTGAGCTCATTCACAAGGGTGTCTAAAGCGCCCTGTTTAGATGCATATGATGGTTGTATGCATCTAAACGCAGCAATGTACATTCTGCAGATTTTATGCATGTTATACTAGTACATCTACATGCATGAAGTCAGAAGAATTGTACATGCCTAAACACGTATGCTACACTAGCTTCTGCAAGTTCTGCCAGCTAGAAGCTGCATTCCCTATAGAAAATGTCTGTTTGAATGAAGCATATATTTAAGGCATTTTTTTATGTATTTTCTTCATTTCTCCCCTGGCTGCTACAAAATTATGTAGAGAGGCCAAATAAGTGGTAGAGGGCCTTGGCCTTCAGAGTATTTGAACACTCCATAAGTGGTGGGTGCTATGATGAGCAAGTGCTGTGCTAGAGTTGCCTAGTAAAATGTATATCCAGTTCAAAGGCACAAGGTGAGCAAACTCAATTTATTTTGGTAAGCGTTGGAGGTCATGGAAAAATCCTTGGTCCTGCTGCTATGCCTGCACAGCAGCTATGAAACAGGAAAAGATAGATCTTTTGCACGCATGTATGTACATTTGCAATTTTGAACGTTTTTGCACTTTTAACAGTTGCATGCTTTTGTTCTGCTTTATTGCTGAATACTGCATTGTTTGGCTAAAGGAAAATGCTGAGCTTGTTTTTTTTTTTTTTTTTTTTTTCCCTAAACAGTCTTGGTAATTATGCCTCTTTACATGGAAATGCTTATTGCAAGCCTCACTTCAATCAACTGTTCAAATCCAAAGGAAATTATGATGAAGGCTTTGGGCACAAACCCATAAAGAGCTATGGGAGAGCAAGAAAGAGGACACAGAAAACCAAGAAAATCTAATCAAAGCTGCAGTTGCCAATGAAGAACCCAGCAGTCCTGTTGTTGAAGATGCTCCTATTGCAAAAGTTGGCTTTCTGGCAGCATCCATGGAGGCCAAAACCACTAATGCTTCAGCTGAACGGGAAAAACTGGTAGAGACCAGGAAGCTGAAAATTGCTTGGCCACCTCCTGCTGAATCCTCTAATTCAGCAACTGCCCTTGAGGAGAATCTTAAAGTGTTCAAACCTAAATGGCCACCAAGTGAGGAAATACTGAAACCTGAAAGTGAGGAAGATTCAGATTTGAAGAAACTAAGAAGAAGTTCTTCTCTGAAAGAACGAAGCCGTCCATTCATACTAAGTGTGGCAAAGCCAGTGGTCACTCAGACCACAAAACAGCCTCAATCTCCTGTACTTAAAAAGCGCAACTCCTTAAATTTAAGGGATGATATTGAAGATGAGACTGAAGAAAGGAAGCCTACAGCTATATCAGCTAGGCACCCACAGGACAAGCTTGAGAGCAGTGAAGACAAGCTGTCAAATCAAACTGAAGGCAAGGAAGAATCCCTGACCAGATCAAATGAGCGGAGCTTCTTAGAAAATGGGGACGTTTCTGAGGCAGAGGTTTCTGGACAGCAACTCTCCCCTGAAGAATCCACCCATTCTAAACATTCAAGCACAGAGGATCTGGTAATGAACAAGGATACATCTCCACCACAGAACCGCAAGTCTCAAGACATTGGCTACTGGGAAGGAGAAGATGTGGAAGAACTAAGTGTAGAAGAACAGATCAAGAGGAATCGTTATTACGATGAGGAAGATGATTAATACTGCATCTTTCATAAGGTTTTAATGCTGTATGCAGCCTTAAATTGTTTGATACCCCAGTTAAAGCGATCCCTTGTATGTAGTGTAAAGTTGCTCCTTTTTAAAACCCTTTTTGATGTTTAAGTCCACTGTATATAATATGAATGTTAAAAATGCATCTTTTGGCAAGAAAAAGCTTCAGCTATAGCAGTGCACCATGAATAAGTTCCTTAACACTCAAGCTTATACAATTGAACTCCCCAAGTTTGTCATAGACCAAAAAAAGCTAGGTCTTGTTATTGGATGCTTGCTGTACAGGTTGTGGGCCATGGGATTGTAGCACTTTCTAACAACTATTAATGTATCACTTTCTGGGAAACCTGCCTTCTTGATGAATATTTACCTGCTGCCATTTTTGCATACACTGTCAAATGATTTGTTAAACTATGCTTTTACTGACCATATATGCCATTCCATCTAGCAGTATCTGAGCACAGAGGTTGTTGTAAGCTCTTAACTGCTTTTCCTCATGTTGCAGCTCTAGCAACACTCATATCGCAACCTTGAAAACTCAAACTGGAAATTGGAATTTTTAAGGTTCAGTACGACTACATTTACATCATCCCCCTTTTTTCAGTTGATTGCTACTATTTTTTTCTGTTGTGTGACCCAGCCATTGGGAAAAGAATGTATGAAGGAAGTGAAAGTAGGTCAAGTCAATTAGTACTTCTGACAATGGCCATTTTACCTACGTACTGAAAATTGGTACCTCTTTAGTACATAATTGAAACTTTCATAAATTGCATCACACTTACATTCCAGAAGTCTAAGGCCTCTTTTTAGAGTTGGACTAAGCTTACACTTGTGTATTCGCATAGTATATGCAAATGTACAAGCTATGCATATGTAATTTCATACTGAATACTTATGCACTCCCCAAGGAGTACCTTATCACAATCTCCAGAGCACTGTAATCAAGAACATAGGATCTAATGGGGGTTTCACAGCTTGACTGCACCCTCATACCTTTATTCTGGCCATCTTTGCATCTATCCATGGCTTTCTGCTTCTGCAAGACAAAGCTTAGCAGTGGCTGCCTAAAGTGATCTTTCCTACACAGTGGACTCCCTGATGATGCCTTTTTTTGGTCCTGTGTTCTGACTGCTTTTCTGAGGATTGTGATAAGGCGTTTCGTTCTGGTGAGTGCATATACCATGTTTCATCCACTGTCGTTGCTATGCTTATTGCACTAGTATTGCTCCTGATGTCCTTTTCTGGGGTACTTATGAATAAACCATGCCTTTTAGTTCATACTTTGCATATTTATAAACTCTAAATTACCATAGATGTGTGTGGCTTTTTAAGGATTGTTCTATTTTACATTTTTTTTTTTTTCAGATTTTGATTTTAGGTGGAACAGCAAGAGGGCTGGCACAAATCCCTTTAACTTTTGGCCATGTTTCAATTTGCCATCATAAGTGTTGATTTTGGAATAAAATGTTGACCATAGTAGTTCCACCTGGGGCTGGAGTCGGTGACTTCCCTAATTGTGGGACTTCTGTAATTTTACTGTGTAGTAATTTACTAATTGAGTCCTAAATCTCAAAATTGTGCATGATCCAAAGTTTAAAGTGGACAGACATGCATTCTGTAGCTTGATGCTTCTGGTACAGGGTAATGCCTTTATTTCAAAGCACGGACGTTGAGCTCATGGTAACTGCAATGCTTTTGTTAATTAGTGGATATTTAAAGTGTAGATACAAACATTTGCATCATCCTTATTCCTTTTATGAGAAGCTTGTATGGAACAAAAATTTGCACATCAGGTATCCCTGTGCTGATGCAGATTTTTCTGTGTCTTGACATGGGTTTTAAGTCTGTGGCGGTTTTGTATCAATAAAATGTGCAGCAGTTAAATATTTCAAGTTTTCTATTTGCACATTAAGGTGATAATTGTAGTTTGTAGAAAACTGTACATTGTTTAGAAACCAAAACTGACCAAAGCCCTAGTACTTTTACAGCCTTTGATTTTAGTTGTAGAATTCCAGCCTTTAACCCTCCATGAGGTCATAAAGTGTAATGTGCTTTTACTATGAATTGTTGGAAATTTATTTTAAAGTGTGCTAGTCATCTAATCGCAGCCAATGCAATTTATTTGAGAATTAAACAATTTGCACAGTGCTTCCTCCACGCTTAAATTATCTAGCAATGTTAGTAAGAGAGAAATGTCTTTGACTTGGGGAATAGTGCCATGAAAACAAAACACGGAAGCTACCATTGCAGAGCACTCCCAAGAAGTTTGCTTGAGCTGTCATGCTAACTGTCTTGCTTTGATACTTTGGTCATTGACCTGGAACAAATATACAGTGAAAGGTAAATGTTGTGTTCCATTTTTCTGATCTTTGGACTCAAAGCACTGATGCCAGTGGGTTCAGCATGGCAGCCAGCAAGCTGTCATTTCTGCACACGTACGTGTCTCTTTACGGATTGATGAATAACATTTCCGAAGCCAAAGTTCTTACAACCAAGTTGGCGCTGATGCAGTAGCATAGTAGCTATTCAATTTCAGACTGAACAGATATGAACTCACAAGGATACCACAAAAGAATTTCTGAGGGTTAAGAAAACAACTGTTTGGTACCCGGGGGACTAGACAGGGATTCACATCTTGATTCTAGGGTCTGCACACTCTTTATTCTGGTCATCTTTGCGTTTATTCGTGGCTGCTTTCTGCTTCTGCAGGGCTTCCTTCAAATGTTAATTAGCAGTTGCTGCTTAAGTTATCTTTTTGCAGGATGTCCACAGTGGGCTCACCAAAGCTGCCTTGTTTGGTCCTGTGTTCTGGATGCTGTTTGGAGGATTGTGATGAATTATTGAATTCTGATATACTTGTGATTGCATATTGTACAATTTCACCCACTGTCACTATGCCTAAAAACACTTAGTGTGTGTCTCAGGCACTTCTCCTTTTACTTTGGTAGTACTTACAACAGCAATGCATGTCCCCTTCCAAAAAAACTAAAGTTCAAAAACTCTAAATTAACATAGCTGTACAGTGCATTTGAGGGTTTTAAGGGCAGTTTTTTTATCTAGATTACATGTTGGGTTCTTTTACATGGTGCAGCATTTGCTATAGAAGACGTGAACTAGCTATGATTAAGTGAAATAGCAGAAGTGGCATGAATCCGTTTCAAATTACCATCATAAGTGGGTTCATCAATTGGAATAGCATATGCTTCCCATAGGTTTCCCTTGAGGCTGGAGTTGGTGACATCTAGTTGTGAGCTCTTTGGTGTTCCCTGAACAGTGACTACACAAATTTTGAGGTATCTTAACCTTCACAACTATTTATATCAGCTAGGTGTGGACAGCTAGACTTTCTGTAGCTCGATTTCTTTTGGACATGCACAAAAGGTGAGTTAATAGTAAAAACGTGCGACTTCAGTGCTTTGTTCATTAGTGGACAATAAACATTTGCATCATCCTTGTCTGTACTTCACTAGTTTGAGAAGCTAACCTGTGCACATCGGGTGTCTGCATTGATGTACACATTTTTGTTTCTTTCAAGCCTGTGAAATCTGCCGTAGTTAGGCTTTGATTTGCACAAGGTAATGAAAATCCAGGTTCTGTTATGAGTATTAGAAAATAAAACTTGATAATTTTAGAATTCTTCAATGTATGATTAGAAAGTTGGGTGCATTTACTCATCATTTTGTGACATGGCACAACAGATTGAGAATCCCAGAGGTAGTCATGGTGAAAGTGGACCATTGACTTTGCACATGTTTTCTTTAGGAGAAATTTTCACCTGAATGGATTTTTTTTTTTCTTTTTGCAGTATCATTTTAGTTGGAAATGGAAAATGGTGGATGGTGCATGGGTTTTTTTTCCCCCTTCCCTCTTTGCTCAAGCTTCCCTCACGCCACTGTTTTCAGGGTAATTTTGTCCTGTTGGGGTATTGGGCAAAGTTTTGGTTTCTAAACCATTTACAATTTTCTAGAATCGATGCATGGAATTTCAGAAATCTGCTTATTTTGGAACCTTTTGCTCTAGTTGGTATATTCCAGCCTTCAACCATCCAGAAGGCAAAGTGCAATGTTCTTTTCCTTATACCTTTTTTACTATGAACTGTTGAATTTATTTTGAAGTGTGGTAGTGGCCCAATGGCCGAGGCTATCATTTTAAGAACTGAGGCATAAAGTGCTGCGCCTTCAGCTTAAAGAAGT